AAAAAAAGAAAGGGTACATATAAAGGAAAAAGTAAATTGTTTCATTCTTTTCTAGCATAGTATTTACAAACAAACAAAACAAAGTCTGTTCTTCAGCTTATAAACTTGATCAAGGCTTTTAACCCGGAAAGAAGCCTCCTTATTCCGCCCCAATGAACATTCTGAGGATGTCTCGAGGAACTACTCTGCAATCAATTTAAAAGGTAAACAAAGATTAGAAAGAAACAAATCGAACCTCTCAGGGCTTATGCAATCATAATCGTTCTGATTCTTTGTTCTACTACTTTCTAAGGTTTCAATTCTCAATTCCCATTAGAAGTATAGAATTACCTTCTTAAATTCTATGCTAGAGCTGCTAATGATCAGATGAAGACTGTTGTTGCTCTGGACCCGGTGGCCACATCTGCTGCGCCATGTATGGGTGAGACTGCTGGGCATATATAGCAGGGTCCACCACCGGCTTCCCCATTATCATTCCCGGAGTCCCGACCTGAGGTGCATGTTGCGCAGGCATGTAATAAGACAATGCATCAGCAGGCCCTCCAACAGGCATTGTCCCACGTGGAATCGATGCAAGAACTTCATCTTTCAAATCCTCTCTCGGAACTATATCAACTAAGAAATCGAATATGTCAGTCCTGGTAATTGCTGCTGCAATATCGTTCTTCTGCAGTGTCCTCCTTTTATTCTCTTCCGTATGGTTCCACGAACGCAATGTCAGTTCTAGGATGAACATTTCACATGCCCGAGCGAAAATAACGGGGGCCTCGGCAGATATCATCCTCACATCTTCATCGGCTTTCATGATCTTCTTGATCCGGGCTAAGGGAAGGTTATGGTTCTTGAAATCTGCAACTTTCTCGATTTCTTGATACTGATTTGCCCAAAATGTCTGGAGTTGTTGCTGAAGTTGCTGTTGCTGCTGGTGGTGGATTTGCTGATAAGCAAGTTGGTGCTGTGCAAGTTGTGCTCCAGTCGGGGTGGACTGGATACCTCCGACTGATGTCACAACCGTCCCTGGATTTTGGGCCGCCCCAGTCACCTGATTTTGATACGGATTAGCACCGTAAGGAACTTGAGATCCGCTACCCATCATCCCCATAGCCGGGGGCTGTCCATGTCCTTGCTGGTCCATTCTAATCTGCTTCAACCAAAACTTAATACATCTGCCCCCAATAAACAAACTTCAACTAGGCATTACATTTTCATTGCATCTAAACATTGAAATCCGAATAAACATTGTAAGAACGATCATCTTCGGTGAACGGAAACCATTTTTCCCCTTATTTCACCGAAACCTATTCTGACTAATATCCTGCCATGGAATATCAAGTTCCATTCCTGTATCAAATCAACATCAACTCGAGCCAAGGAAACAAATCACCGGCATTCATGATAGAAATCTATACATATTGGTCCGGTTCTCTATTTTCCTTAAGATGATATAATTTCAAAGCCTCCAAATACATGGAAAAACTTTATGAAAAATCAAGCTTACTCGTACCCGACACTACAAAATGAATTTGATCTAGATTTACTCCATCTAAAATAAAGAAAGTACAAACACAATAAAGAAGCAAAAAATGGCAATTGATCAATGGATTTTTCAATCAAAAACCAATCATTATATTATAGGAAAAGATTATACCTTTTTTTTTTGGGGGGGGGGAATTCGTACCTTTGATGGGAAGATTGAGAGGAGCCTGAGATTAAAAAGAAGAGATGTCAAAAGGGTAAAAGTGAGCTCAAAGGAATTGTTAGTGTACGGTGAGAAAAGAAACCCAAAATTGGAAAATTTTAGGGTTACATTGAAGAGAAGGTTGTTTATATATTATAGTTTTGAAAAGGGATTTTTCTTTATCGTACGAACTAACCTGAGATTGGAAACAACAAAAGCTGAAGTTGGTTTGGTTTTCTTTGTTGGGTATTTGACAATGTGATGTCAGAACTGAGAAGCCACTTTTATACGACCCGGACTTCCCCTTCTTTCTGCGTTTTCTTTTCCTTTTTCGGCTTTCTGACCAAATTACCCTTTTCAAATGAAATTGCCTTCCGGATATCATGTTTTGGTTGTTTGGATTTTTTGGACTTTTTAATTGGGTTTTCAGTTGGGTCTAGATTTTTTGGACTTTTTAATTGGGTTTTAAGTTGGGTCTAGATTTTTTGGACTTTTTAATTGGCTTTTAAGTTGGGTCTATTCACATCAGGTTTTTTTCTGGGTAAACTATAACAGTGGTCACCCAACTATAACCATTTTTCATTTTGACCATTATTTTTTAATTTTTGTCAATCAAGTTATCCAACTATTTAAATGCATTCAATTAAGTCACTTGTTGATAACGGTAATGGAAGTATTACATGGCAGTTAGTAAAATTGATATAATTATACATTTGATCCTCAATATTTATATATTCTAACAATTTAGTCATGATTTTTATTTAATTTAATAAATTTAATCATCTAATCATATAATGACACGTGTCAAAGTTTTATTAGAGATTATTTTTTATAATTTAATATATTTAACTTAATTATTTTTCCAACTAGATAGTGATACATGTCATCATCTAGGTGGATGGAAAACAAAATATAAAGGAAAAGCAATCCAATGTAGGGATGGGCACGGGTCAGGTTTGGGCCAACCCGACCTTACCAAAAAATTTCACCCCTCCACCTGACCTGACCCAAAAAATCTACATCCTCCACCCGACCCGAAATAAAAAAAAATTATTCAATAAAAATAGGGATTTAATTGAAAATATATATATATTGCGGGGTTTTATTATAATTATCCCTAAATATGTAAGATAAAATTATATTTTTTGGGTCGGTATTTTTCACCCTAAACCTGAACCCGACCCGAACATCACCTTTAAAAAAATCCCAATCCAACCCGATCTAGTTAAAAAAAACGGCCATATTTGAGATGCCTAACCCTAATCCAATGACTTGGAGAAGATTCGAACCTAAGAATCTAGTAGCGTTGAGCGCTGCCTTAACTAAACCGCCTAGGCGTCTATGACTAAATTAATAAAATTTTTAAAATGATAGTCAAAATGAAATGAGACCATAGTTGGATGTCACTGGTATAGTTTATATTTTATTTTTAATTTCAAATAGTTTCAAGTTTTGAACTATTTTGAATACGCAATTTCCAAGTTTGAAACGGGCTTTTTTTTTAATAAAAGGAGAGGAACTCAACAGGGTCGTACATCGGAGCATCACTATTAAAAGCATTCAAGACTTCTTCAGGAGGCTGGGAAAAAGTTCGAACACCTTGAGGAAGGTTCTACGCTATCTTGGCCAAGCAATCAGCTACCCCATTGCCTTCCCGGGGTGTAAACCGGAATTGTACATGCCAATTTTCCTTAATGAGAGCTATATGAGGAATCATAGTCGACGCTCCTTGTAATTTCGGATCCATCTTAATAATATCAATGATCGTTTTGCTATCCGTCTCCACAATGATTTTTCTGATGTGTAAGTTCCAGGCTAGGCGTAGTCCCTCATAAACTCCCCATAACTCCGTGTCGATAACAGAGCAGCAGCCGATGGTCTTGGAAAAACCAAGTAGCCAGTTCCCGGAGTGGTCTCGAATGACGCCACCACAAGTCGCCTAACCAGAACTTGAATCATAGTGCTACTGTGGAACTTATGTAATCGATGAAATAGATGGGTCCATGATAAGGAGATACAAAAGGACAGAAATATCATCATGACAGCTTGGAGTCTATGTGCTGAATTCAAAAAGGCTAATTACGAGGATAGGCTCATCCCCTCCCATCAGATGCACCACCAGTGCCGCAATTGGAGTAGGCCCAATGAAAATGTGGTCAAAATCAATTTTGATGGGGCATGTAAATCGTCTGCAATAGGTGTGGTTGCTAGAGATAACAATGGACTAGTCATTGGAGGTATGTGCCGCCATATTGATCCCCCTTCTCTGCGGAATCAACTGAAGCGGAAGCTTTCATTAAGGGATCAGATTAGCTGCCGAATTGGGTGGTTAAATGCTATTATCGAAGGAGACGCGATTTCCATAGTCAACAGACTGATTAATCGAAGAGAAGATGTTTCAACCATTGCTTTGTTTCTTGAAGAAGCACGTACTCTACTAGAAAGAAACAAACATCTAGAAGTCTTTTATTTTAACCGGGAAGCCAACTGAGTGACTCACACTCTCGTGCAATGGGCTCTAAGGAGACTAAACCCGCTTTGGGTTTATTATGATGAACCCGATGATATAAAAGATATAATTCTGTGACGCTATTGGAATATAATTAAACCACTTTCTTCAACAAAAAAAATATATTAGTAAATTATTTTTATAAATTTGTTAATTTATGTTTATTTTAAGCTCCATATAATATTAGTAGATTTTACATATATTTAAAAACAAAATAAAATTTTAGGAAGCTTAACAAGCAACGAGTTGAAAAATAATTTTTTTTAACGAACTACAAATAGAAATGAGCAATAAATTTTTTAACGAGCACGAGTTAAACACTGCCCAACTCGTGATTAACTCACTTGATAAGTACATCTATTTATAATATTACGATACTATTTGATTTCAATTTAAATACTTTCCTATATATATATATTTCTTAATATTTTTCATATGTGCTATATATCATAGAGTTAAAAGACTAGAATCAAACTCGAAAATGAATTCACTAATTATTAAAAAAATTCGAATTATTATTCTAGTTTAATTCTATAACTCGACTTGAATTTAATTTTTTACGATTAAATTAAATTTATAAAATTACTAACCGAGTTAATTTTTTTCAATTCGAAAAGAATAATTTTTCTAGTCGAGTTTTACTGGAGCGGAACCATTACCTGATTTTCATACCTTCAAATTAGACAACTCAAGGATCCTGTCCGATTCAACTGAAAAAGAAATCCAACCACAGGACACGAAAGTCATTTGTGTAATTCCATTAAAGAATATAAGCATGCTTCTATTGAATGCAAATCGTTCACATGTTGAGGCTCAAGGACATTAACAGGTGAAGTGAAAGTGAACATAATTTACATGCTAAGAAAGCGCTATACAGATGCTAAGAAAGTGAACATAATTGAAAGCATAGTTGATGCTCTTCAAGCCATACCAGGCATGGATGCAATCTTCCTTGATAGGTTCTCGAGGCTTTCCTTGAGGCTGGAGTTGATGAAGCATCAGTTTTCCGCTTTTTCCTTTGATCGGGTATCTCAAACTCTGCTGCCAGAGATTTCAGATCGCCGAAGATATCATCGAAACCCATATCGAGAGCATCATTGTCAATCTCTGATTTTATACCCACACTACCAATTCCATGCACCCTCGTCGGACTGCTACTGGATTCATCCTCCTCTTCACCTAAAAAAGTACAAAGTCAAAACCAACATCTACCATAGTAGTGACACCAGAAGAATAAAGTAACAACATCCATGGCAATTCACATCCATAAACAATATCAAGAGCAAGAATGAGGGAGAGAGAAAGCACCAGCACAATTTTCTGCCTCCAAATGCCACCCATTTATATTTGCATTTCCATAAATCAAGAACAAATCATTATAACTAGGAAGGGTTCTGCGGTATGAACGTGAATCAGGGTGTTCCTGCATGAGCCGAATTTAAGCTAAGCAAGCAACATCTAAATTTCATGAGTAAGAAAAGTTGATTGAGCAGCACCTTTAGATAAATAGCCAGAGATTGTCATCAGCAATTATCATCATGGTCGAGTAGAATTTTCATATCATTGAATCGTTTTCTCAAGTTCATAAAACGACTTTTCAGGACACCTTTGTCATATTGAGGCCCAAATTCTGCACTAAATTTTGCAACCATATCAACCCACGCAAGCTTGCTAATTTTTTTATCGATCATACTCCCTTGATGAACATGTTCTAGCTTTAGATCAATGAAATATCGGTCCATCGACAAAGACAAAGACAAGTTGAATGAAAAAATAATGTACCTCAAAGTTGCTAAAACTAATGGATAAATCATCAGAAATAGTAAGCACGCTACCTTTTAGAAGATGAGAAATAGTTCAGGGATTCAAATCGCGGTCGCGTTTTCGGTCATGTCTCGTTTACCGCTATTGCGGCTATAGCGGGTATATCGGAAGGCAGCGCTACTGCTATTTCGCGGGTGCTCTATCGCAGTCGCAGACCGCTATTTAAAACCCTGCTAGAGTTAATTCAAGTGCATATAATCTTAGCAATAGAAATCTCACCATTTCCATTGCAGCTAGCATCTTGACTTGATCGTCTGCCATTCCTATCAGTTGAAGTTCCATAGATCAAGCATAAATCATTATAATTAGGCTTACATTCGTTCCTGTACGTGCCAACGTCTGGGTATTCCTACACTTACCATATGTTAGCTACTTAGAAAAGAAAACAACTGACATCCAAGAACAAACAAACAAGCAAAGTATCCTGACATAAGTCTCCCAAACATCATCACGGGCTGTAACCATATGCCGTGTTTCATCCCAAGAAAACACACTCTGATCAAGAAGAGTCCTCATATCACAATATTGTTTGCCAAGGCTTTTATGATGATCCTTCAAAAGTTCCTCGTCAATTTCTATTCCAAAACTTTCCATAAATGACAGACATATCCATCCATACTTCAGTATCTAAATCACCATTCATCCTACTGCCCCTATGCACTTGCTCTAACAAAAGATCAATAAGATGTCTTTCCATCGGAGGAGTCCAATTTATCCTTGAACAACCATTAGTGCCATGAAATTGAGGGTCATTTCCTACAATGTATTTACATGAGAAAATAGCCCCATTACAACAGGGAAAAACTTGATATAATATTGCATGTCTGCTCAAAATAAATGCATACCGCCAACTGAGTCTTAGCTCAGTTGGCACCGTTGCTACTGCAACAACCTGGAGGCCGTAGGTTTGAGTGTGCTTAAGCGCAACCGCCTCTAATTTAATTAGTTTGGGGATAGTTTAGGAATTATATAAGAAAATGCATACCAATCCCCAAATCTGGGTCCTCATTTTCTAGACACCTTTTGGGCCATACTGCACCTCTGATTAGAACTTTCTTGACCAAATATAACACATAGCTTGTGATAGTCCGGTAATATTTTGTTTCTGTATGATTGTGTTGGGATGTGCCTGCATTTATTACACTTGAGCTAAAATAATAGCATGACACAAAGAGAACAGAAAGTTAGAGATATATGGAAATTCACCTTCATGTAAGCATCCCAAACATAATCCGCAGCAATGACCTTTTCTCGTGCGTCATCCCATGAGAATCCACTCTGTTCGAGTAGTATCTTTATACAATTATATTGCCCCCTCAAGTGTCTGGCCTGCGACTTCAAAGCCTCCTCATCATAGTGACATCCAAACTTTACATTGAACATTGCAACTATTTGTTTCCACGCCTCAGGTATGAAAACATGACCAATTTTAGTCCCTCCAAGTGCTTGGTTAAGCAAGTCAATAAGATGACAATTCAATGCTGGTGTCCAATTTGTACTTACCATCTCATCTGTATCATGGAGATGGCCTTTGTTTTCTTCACCTGCAAGAGCAGTAAACGCATCATATATATTCCAGAGTATGACAGAAGGAGACAAATATTCATCACCATAGACAAATATTCTTATAGCTTGCCGTCAGAGAAAGAAAAAGTAATAAGATAACCATAGCTTATCCACATTTATTATCAAGTTTCAATGTTGCTAACTTCGCCAAACAGTGGGATGCATGATACAGCCCACTACCTACCCTTCTGAAGAGAAATTTCGTGTTTACTTGCACACAAACAAAACTTACCAATCCAAGTTGGTAACATTTTAGGCCCAGTACATCTTCCTTGGCGTATATGACTTGAAACTACACTATTTCTTGCATTTTTATAAATCAACCTCAAATCTTGGTAGTTCAGTATCTTCTTGTTTCTGAAGGTATGAGCATCTGGATGTGCCTAAAATATAACGAAGGAAATTATAATGTGCTAATCAGTCAATTTCCATGTTGAATGCAGATAGAGATATACCCTGATATAGTTATCCCAAACAAGATCATCAGCAACTATCATTTTTTGTTTATCATCCCAAGAAAATCCTTTTTGTAGTAGTAGACTATGAACATCACTGTATAATTTCAACATTTTCCTATATCTACACCTTAAAAAGCTTTTCGCGAACTGAAAACAGAACTTGGCATTGAATGAACCAAGCATATCATTCCATGCTTGTTTGCCGAATGTGTTCTTACTTTTATTGCCCTTTCTAAGATTTTCCAGCATAAGCTCAATGAAGTATTGATCTATGGAAGGTGTCCATTCTATATTTGGGTTCTCGTCACTTGCTGCAGGAATGGAACTTCCAACACCTAGAATTGAGAATTAGTGAAAAGTTAGTTATTTTTCTTCATTAAGAAAAGGTCCTTCCAAATGATGAATACATTTAAATACAATAATAATCCATTTCATATCATTTATGACACTTGCAGGGGGAAAATCCATAATAAAAAAATTCATGTCTACTGGAAGATCTGGAGTTTGTATAAAAAAGATGTAACAAGAACTGCCGAATGCCTGGATTAGTTTGCAGTAAATATGTGAGAAAGAGAAAATACATTAGTAAGCTAAGGTGCTGTAACTAAAACTCATTAAAGGTTATATTAAGGGCTTCACAGAATCACAAGTTTGCATTTGGTACAAAGACACTCCATAAAAGTAGATGTGACACTAGTCACTAAAAATGTTACTGGATTTCTCAATCAAGTCATGTGAAACATTATTATAATGGCATTTATCGACTTTTACTAGCTACATTCATAATTCTAAAAAGTTAAAAGAGTTTAAAATAATCATAAAAAAAACCCAAAATGGACTCAGCTTGACACTGCCAATGGAAATATGTAATCTTACTAGTAACAAGAACACACCGAAATTCACCCCTTGAGCATCATCATCAAAGTCAATATCATGACTTGACCAACTATATCTTCCATCCGCCTGTGTGTATGCATATATCAAGCACAAGTCACTGAAATTCACCAAAGTTCTATTCCTATACACCTGTGCATCCGGCTGACCCTGCAAATCCATTATAATCAAATAAGAGCATAAAAAATGAAAAGACCTTCACATAAACCAGAACGTCATCCTCACCTTGATATATGCATTGCAAGCATGGGGGGGGGGGGCAACTACCAATTTCCTTGTATCATCCCAACTGAACCCGTTTTGTCCGAGAAGGTTCTTCACATCATTATACTGCTTCCACAAATTGGTATAATGACTTTTCAAAGTGTCTCTATCGTATTTACACCCAAATTTTGCATTGAAGATAGATAGCATATCAGTCCAAGCTTGTTTATTAAATGTATTACCTAATCTATTGCCCCTATGCATTTGATCTAACATAAGATCAATAAAAAATTGTTCCATTGCCGGCGTCCAATTTGTTCTTGTTCTATCACTGCTATTAGGAGCATTGCTTCCCATTCTTCTCCCCCCCTGATAATACACAAAAGTTATATTAATTAATTAAATCAGAATTACAGTGCTTTTTTAAAAAAATTGAAACATAAGTAACAACTTACAAGCACACAAAACTCAAAGCTAATATAAGCTCAAATGAAATAAAAATTGTAAAGATAACCAAAAGGAACATTATAATTTATCTGCTCAAAAAGTTTGCTCCAGAAAAGAGGCATAAATAATGGTCAAATTTAAGGTTTCTTCTGCCAAAGAGTTTCAAGCAGAGAAATCCTATATAAATTAAGCTTAGATTACGTTAAATTAGCTCGATCAAACAACTGAAACTCAAAAATTCATAACTCTTTTTCTTTTCTTTTCTTTTCTTTTCTTTTCTTTTTTCCGAGCTTTTTCCAGTAACGATATGGAAACAGAAGCGAAATTGCCGGTAAAAAATAAGTAAAAAGGATTAGAGTTTGAAACCTTGAGGTTTTTCTGGTCGGAGATGTGGCGAAGGAGAAATTTTGATTCAATTTCCGGGAAATTTGATCGAGAGTGAGTTTGCTTTAGAATCCAGCCCAAATTATATGAAAAGGGTGCTTTAGATTCCAACCATGAAAAGAAAGGGTTCTTTGGATTGAAAGCTTAAAGAACTACGCCTGTTTGGCAGTTAATGGGGCTTCAAATGGACCCTTGAAACTAGGTCTACACCGATCTTTAATGGACCGATCATATGGGCCGCTAAATCCCTTTTTTCCCCCAAAATCTGAAGATTGAACCCAACTCTTTATTACTTTTAGTGAAAAATTATCCGAACCCAACGTATTGCATAAATTGATCAAATTAAGTTATTATATTCTTTAAATAAGATTAGAAGTTTGAATTTTAATATTTGTAAATGAAATAAACTGAGTTAGGAGGATCGCTCCATAATTGTTAGTAATGCAAATAGTGGGACTATTTTAGTGATTGTGTTACGTATATTTAGGGAGTGGTTGGAGTATATGATTATCATTTGATAATTTTATCTTTCTACTTCTCCTATATAAGGTATTTTTCACTCCCTAATTATATATACAATTTGATATTTTCAGTATTTCATTCTCGAAAAAATATTTTATTGAAGAGAGCAGTACAAGTGGGTTCCATTTCCTGACTTCAGGTATACGAAGTTTGGAAGATTGTGTTCAAGAAGACAACGTTCACTTTCAAGATTACACTAATTTAGAAGAAATTGCTTCTAAACTTTTAGAAAATATTATTGTTGCAAAACGATACCATTAGCATTGACTAACAAATAATAAAAGCAATAATGAATCTCTTTAAAACTCGATCTTGATTAATTAATAGGATATGTGTGATTAAACCAAAAAAAATATAAAAGCCCGACCATTCCTTTATACGTTATATCATGTTATTTTCGTAATCATATTTAAGTATTTATAAAAATAATTGAATTTTTTATATTTTAATAATTTATATAATAATACATTTTTGAATTATTCGTGTATTCATGTATTGTGGCTCAAAATAAACCATTTTCTCTCGTAGTTCCTTATTTCCAAAGCAAAAGAAAAAAATTACACTTCAGGCCAAACGTTTAGGTGGCGTTTGGTTCGTTGGAATGTTTATGAGAGAATTGAAATCTGTGAAGGAATTAGAATCTGTAGGAATTTGAATATGAATCTGAAACCTGTTTGGTTGGCAGGAAAATGAATTGGAATCCAATTCCATATTCTGTTTGATTCGCAGACATGTCAGATGAATTTGATTTCAGTAATGTAAATGACATAATTACCCTTCTTGTTTTTTTTGCTTAATTTTAGTTTGTTTTATAACTTACATGTAGCAATATATTATAAAAAATTTAAAAATATTATATTTTCATTTTATTGATTATTCATTTCAATAAATTATAAAAATCATACTAATAAACATCATAAGTTAAAATCATCCCAATTAGGGATGGTCATGGGTCGGGTTTTTGGTCCACCCGACCCGACCCGAGAACAAGGGAACCTCCACCCGAGACCCGACCAGACCAAAATAAAGTTTCACCTGACCCGCATATCACACTTAACCCGAACCCGACCCGACCCGAATATCACACTTAAAATTATATATTCTTAAGTGTCGGGTCGGGTATTTTTCATCCTAAACCCGAACTCGATCCGAATATCACACTTAAAAAAACTCGACCCGACCTGAACTCGAATTTTTTTAAAAAAATTCGACCAGATCCCGAATTCTTTTTAAAAAAATCCTACACGAATACCAAAAGATTGATGAGGCTAGTATGGTCAAATTTCACATTCCCTTCTCCAAAGGATTTCAATTCTATCATGTTATGGATGGAATTTACTTTCCCTCCTTTGATGAAATTTGATTCCAATTCCCCCTTTGAAAATTTGAACCAAACATGGGAAAATAATGGAATTGGTTTCCAATTTCTCCTAATTCTAAGGGATTCTAGCGAACCAAACGCAACCTTAAAGATGCTTTTTTATTGCAATACATACTTACATGCGTACGTACTTGAATGCATTCTCACTTACATACCTACAAATACATATTTATAGCTAATTATTACATTGATCACATTGGGGAACTGGAGACTAAAACCAAACGAAGGTTGCCTACTGGAAAGCTATAGCTTCTGCCTCATGGGACAGCAGTGAAGTTGAAATTATTGCATGAGGTCTTGAAAAACAGCAGGGAAGAGTTGAAACCAAGCCTTGACCTTGCCATATCAAACTGTATAAGATTATTCTCCATTTGGAAAACCCCGATCACGATCGAAGCTCCATCGTTCTTCATTCCTCCATCGACAAATGCTAAGCAAGAAACCCCTGGTGCAGCTTCGACCATCGAGTTCGCCCCAAAAATCCGCCACACTAGATGGTTGTCATGGAGCACAAGATCAATGTTAGGAACCCCTGGTCCAACCCTGGTTCTTTTGAGGCTTTTCAAGTTGAAACAGGCCCCGAATGGTGCAACGGGCTTCGCTTGGGGAATACCAGAGAGCTCCTTGGTGAAAAACTGTGTGACGGCTTTGAAGATCGTGTGGTGCAGAACCGTATAAGGATTGATTGTGCTCAGCTTCGTGCCACCGACACCTCGTTTGTCAACTGACAACAGCGTCATGTTGATCAGAACGTTTTTGTTGTTGATCTTGATTGATCTAATTTCCATGTAGTACTCTCCTTGGGGGTTGATGATAAGTGGAGTGTAGCTTAAAGGTCGTAATATCTCGACATCAGGCAACATGTAATAAGGGCTGTCCCCAAAGAACATGACCCCATTAGGGGCTAAACACAAGGCAAATGTTGGGGCAAACCCAGCGGATCCAAAGTGTGAGGCAAGTTGACTCGGTAGAGAATAGGGAAATGCCCCAATCCAGCGACCCCTTGAACATTGCCCGGTAACCCATTTTGCAGTAAAAGGGAAGGTGCGCATGTAAACAAGAATTGAGGGACCCTAACCATTGGACCAGGGTTAGACCCTTGGGTGAATTGAATTGATAGCACATCCTGTGCAAGCTCACTCATTGCAGTTATGCCCGTTATGGGGTTCACCGACATCACACCGCATGTGTTGTTTTGGCACCCCGGTCTAGCCTTGGCGGAGCACGTGTGGCAATATGACTGTCGGCTCGAGCGCATTGAGTCGAGCGGCACTGAGGGGCACGCTAGGTAGATGAAAGGTAACTTTTCTCACAAGTAACCCATAGTAACCTTCCATTCAAATCCACAACAAATGGGACTTTCAATGAAGGAGTTCGCTTGTATATGTTGGCCACATAAAGCTTGGTCTTTTGATCTCTTTGCAGTGGCAAAACAAACCTATTCGGCTTCAGAGTTATTAGAGATTCCGATAAAAGGAAAGAAGAAAAGGAAAGGAAAATGAGAAAGAAATGAAGGAAAGAAGAAGCCGTGAATGCCTCAAGTGGCGTAAGAAAGGCTAAGCGGCGCGGAGATGAAGGGGAAATTTGAGTTATTTTATGGGTAAAATAGTGTTGTTAAAATGTAGTCTATCTTTTTGTAATCTCAGCATTGTTCATGTGACCGTTTTGGGATTATATGCATTTGGCAAGCAGAAAGGGAGGCTTTGAGAGGCTAAATTTGGCAAAATTCAGGCTAAAAGATAAACATGAAAGCAAATGAACAAAATTGAATTGGTAAGTGTGAACTGTGAAAGGCACTTGGCAATCACAATGCAGGAAACGTTAATTTCTTTTTTGGTGTCAATCAACTCATGTTATGACTTCATGGCCTTGGGCTGGAATTAGATAATTAGCATCTTTAGATTTTATTATCTTTATTATACTTTGCCAATTATGGATCACTTTCTCAAATTATTCCATCTTAATTAATTAATGGGTAAAGTATGTAAATAGTCCTCTGACTATAAAGTGTTGCTTTGTTGAGTCCTCCAACTATTAAAAGTTACAAAATGGTCTTCGTACTATTCATATGTTCCAAATTCATCACTTTTGTTAAAAAATCGAAGGTTGTCTGAATTGGACGTCAACCTATTAGTTGAGATATGATAAGATATGATTATAGAACCATTTGAATTATATAGTTATTTGAGATTCTGACATCAAGTTTCACCATATCCTAGTTAGCAGGTTAACTTTCAACTAGACGACTTTCAATTTTTTAACCAAAAAAAAAGATGAGATTGAAACATATGAACAGTTAGATGACCATTTTGTAACTTATAATAGTCGGAGGACTCAACAAAGCAACACTCTATAGTCAGAGGACCATTTATGTACTTTACTGTTGAGATTTTAAGCTCTATGAACAACCGAAAATATAGCCATGAGGGGTTGAATTGACTTTTTGAAAATTTAAGAACTGAGGAAAATGAGGCAGAAATTATGGTGGTTCAACTTCCTCAATAAGGTTTACAACCACTACCTTATGTAATATCCCAAATTTTTGTTGGTGGCCAAAATGAATAAATTGAAAGTTTTATGGCCAAAGTGTACACTTTAGAAAAGTTTAGGGACCAAGTTGTAATTTTAAAAAGTTATGTATTTTAGCCCGTAAATGAATGGTTTACCTCTAAGAATGACATTTTCGTGTTACATGGATTTTTTATCAGGAGTTTGTATTAATGGCTATAAAGTGATAAAGTTCGGGAAAATTGGATAATTAGATTGAATCAAATATTCAAGATATTTTAAAAAATGATAAAATAAGGTTAATAATTTCATTTTTCATGTCTTAAATTAGTAGGATTTAATATGGATCATTGGATGTAAGTTGATTCTCCATGTTAATTATGAGTCGTCAGATGGAAAATAGCAAAATTATAATTTTAGGAAACTTCGAGGGCAAATTGGAAGCTACTAATTTGTTTGTTCATCTTTGACTTTTGAATTATCATAATTGACATGTGGCTTGGTAATAAATATGAGATTTCACAGGTAAAATGGTCATTTGACATTAAATGAATTTTTAATTCATTTATATTAAAAACATGACAAATGGTATAGATTTTTTAAAGAAATTTCAAGACTTCATCCATTTTCTCTCCATTTCTATGACCTTTTAGAAGATTGTGATCAAAATTGAGATCGAAGCAAGCTTAAAGCTAAGGAAAAAC